GGGGGGGGTAACTTACATTTTTTGACCCCCTAGGAGGGTACCCTAAAATGTAACTTACTTTTTTGAGGTCCCCTCCCGGAAGTAGCTTAAGAGGGTAGGGATGTTTTGTGGTATTACCGGGGCGGAGCCCGGGTAGGTCGTGGAACGTACGACCCGCTCCAAGTGGAAAGCACCAGTCAGGCATTTTGCAAGTATAACAGTATAACATATCTATATCTCTCCCTCTTCCATGTTGAAGTGTAAATCAAGGTATTGAAGCTGAAAGCAGTCGTCTTGGGGAATCAAAGGACTCCGCAAGTGACTGGTACGAGGCATGTTGTTGCCCAAGGCCCTGTTTTCCTTTTGGGTTTTCTACTTGGACTGTTGTCCCCACTACTGCCGGCAGTTGCTTATCCACTGCATTTGGCTTTTGTCATTGGTTCACTATCCGCGGCGTCTCCATATTTCTGCCCCGTTGGAGTCTCAAAACAAGGTATTGAAACTGAACGCCGTGGTCGCGGGAAACCATAGCACTCGTCTCAGCAAGTGACTGGTAAGAGGCATCTTCTACAAATGGATACTTGAGTACATAGTCACACAAGTCTTCCAGCCATCTTCACAAATCAATAGACTGCCTTGGGACTAGCCATGTGTACTACTCTCGGGTAGGATGATGCTAGTGATGCAATACCTCCATCACCTTGCATCTTTTGCAGCACCAAGCCACCAAAAATCATCTCCGCGGAAAGGAAAAAACACTAGCAAGCTAACATGGTTTACTTCCTTTTTCCCCGTCTTGCCCCCGACACCCCCCAATAATAAACTTTGTTCGCAGCACTAACTTCAGCCTAGCCTGCCGGCTGGCTTTCGTAACAACAAAAACCCTGGGGAAATTGGATTTCGGACATTTATGAAATGCTGTCGGCACCATTCCGTGCTTCAAAGCAGAAAGCTTATAAAATCCTGTTCGCCCACAAAAGGTCAAATTCCCGGGAAACACGAGTAGGTCTTTGTTTCCCTAGTTTAAGGCCATGATCTTCCTATTGGACTCGTTCGAGATTAGAACAGTACCAGTAGAGACCTTGTAGCAGGAAAAAATGTAAATGCATCTGCTAATGAATCTGCAATTCAAAAGGTTGACAAATTCTGCAAGTCTGCAAGAAAGATGATTTTTGCAGATACGATCGATCGGCCGACAGAAAACTAGTAGCAATGGCCTCCAACCTAAGAGCGATGGCCTCCAACCTACTAGCGATGGTGTGTTATAAAATTCTGCAGTCCAGAACCTAAACCATTCCAATCCATTGCAGCTACCAGAAGGATTTCATTATATACAAGAGATCGTTTTGTAATAATGTTTTATAAATTGCTGATGAAAATCAACTTGATGAAAGCACTGAATACTTATGACTTTCTGTTGGCCAGGTGCCTCTGCCTCAAACGAGGACAGCTAGGTTCTTTTTGTAACGTAGGTCCACCTACAGGAAAATATATACTATATACGTAGAAGTACGCCACGGGTATGTCCATGTTATATTGCATCCCTTCACATGTCCACGCGTTGAGAGGTTGGTTAGCAATCAACAATGTCAGGCGTTCTTCAGCTTTCTTTCAACATCTTGCAAGTGGTGTGTGTCCGGCACCTCCCCCGCCTGGCTAATCCGTGGAACTGCTGAGGCCACCTACCCAATCCCACGTTGACTGGCCTCATCACTCTGCTGTGGACAAGTGAGTGGGTCTGCAGACACTACAACAAGTGCAAATGAATTTCCTGCTGTTCCGCCTTCTCCCAAGAGCAGCCCTGCTCCCAGGTAAGCTGAACAAACGCTGAGGATTCAAACCTGAACAACTCCACACAGCCAAAAATTGAAAACAACCTGGGACTAGTCTGACTAGTCGAAGAAAACAGAGAGAGAGACTCCTTCTCTCAAGAACTCTCTGGTTGACCTGTACGTCTTCACCATGACCCGGCCTCCGATGGAACTTGGTGGAAGTTCCAGGTAGATATTGGCGATTTCACAATGCACCTTCAGAATAGCAAAGAGCTAAAAAAACACAGCCAAAAACCGAGCTCTGGTACTACAGTGCTACAGTGCTTACCCAAAAATAGCTACGGAATCCGTGGACGTGATGGATGAGCCAAGCTGGCTGCTGGAATCGGAAGTTCACCAAAGTCCTTTGGATGTGGAGGCCACTGCAGCTGCAACCTCGCATAGCGAAGAGAATGGCGCTGCATCATATTGAGCACATACATGTGAATCTTCTATCTAGCAAGCTTCCAAGTCGGGCCCTGACCCATATGCAGCATCCAGCAAACTCTTCTGTATTTGGCTCAATTTCGCCTGTCTCGCCAAGATTGGTTTGGAAGAGTTGGAAGAATTACTGCATGTTCAACAACCTCTCATTCCTTCCTGTCAGACGTGTTTCAATCTTTGAACTGTCTCTTCCACGGCAAAAAAAGGCTGACGAGGCTGACGCCATTGCAATTACAGTACAGTAATCATTCCCACACAAACTCGAATCCCTGACTGATCCTTCTTGGTAGCATGTTCTTTTCTCAGCCTTCTGTTGTCCATTACAAAACTGGAAACCGACTTGATTCTCAGTGGTGAAAATACATGAAAATGAGTTAAGCGAAGGCGGTGTTATATGATTTGTGTTTTGACTGTGGCCGTGCTTAGGTGGTGCTTGCAAGTTTGTGTTTGGCAGCACTGCGGGACTGCCTTCCATTGCTTGACCAAGCGGACTTTCTTAGGCTTGGTGAGCTGAGGCATCCTCCCACTGCCATGTCATGTAAGAATCTAATTACTATCCAAGAATGTCTTTTTCAGTGAACACGTGAACACAATGTCCACAAAAAATGCTGTTGTAGCATGTCCCAACTGAGCGGTCTGACGCGGCCGAAGTCTCCGGATTCAAAGCCTTTCAAGAAGAAAGATTATGCCAGCAAAGACCCCAAGCAGTTTCAGCACTATATTTTTGGTGTGAACCCTTGAATTCACATGTTCCCGTGTTGGTAGTAGCGTTTGTAGTTATATTCCTATAGCCACACAAGGCCTGGACAAAGCCTGCAGCAGCGCATCGGACAAGGCTTGGACAAGCGGACACAGCGGAAAAGAAAGCCCCCAGCCTCACAGCTACCCCGGGGAGAGAACCCAGCAGTAAATTGCTTGGCGAGCAAGAGCAGGTCGCGAGCGCAGCCAGAGAACAGCAGGAGGATACCAGGAGGACAAAAGGAGACGCAGGGTTCGCCAGCCTAGCCACAGAGAGGGTTCGCCAGCACGGGACGCCACATGTGACACAAGGTTCCAATGCGCAGCCAGAGGACAGCAGAGGTTGGAGGCGTGGCAGGGGGATATCAACAAGGACACAGGGCTTGCAAGCGTGGCTAGAGGACAGCTGGAGCACACCGTCAGGACAAGAGAAGAACACGGCGTTCACCAGCACCAGAGGACAGCAGGAGGACACCAGGACGGCGAAGACCAGAAGACAAAAGCAAAATACTGGGTTTGCGAGAAGCAGCAGGAGGATACCAGGAGGACAAGGGTTTGCCACCACGGCCAGAGTACAGCCAGAGGACTGCACCAGAACAATAGCAGGACAAGAAAAGGACAACACGAGGACAACACCCGGACAAAAGGTTCAGGGGCGCGGCCAAAGATTGTGCCCAGTGTCTTTTTTCCTAAGAGAGAACCCCAACAGTGAGCTGCTTGGGGAGGACAAGAGAAGGACAAGAGGAGGACAAGAGGAGGACAAGAGATGGCAAGAGAAGGACAAGAGGACAATAGAAGGACAAGAGGAGGACAAGAGGAGGACAAGAGGAGAAGAAAGAGGAGAAGAAAGAGGAGGACAAGTGAAGGACACAGGGTTGGCCAGCGTGGCCAGAGGACAACGGAGGACAAGACCCGGACACGGAGCTGAGACACAGAGTTCAGGGGCACGACCAGCCAGTGTGGCCAGCTCTTTTTTTCCTAAGAGAGAACCCCAACAGTAAACTGTTTGAGGAAAAATCAGAAAATCATTCAAGCCAAGCAAAGGAACGACAGCTGGATTGTTTTCTTGGAACACCAAGTATTGAGATTGAGGGCAGCACAAGGATGTGCAGCACTGAGTTCAGGATGCCATGGTTCCGTGCCTCACTTCACAGAACATCTTTGCTTCACAGGAGATTGATGGGATGAGTCTTAGTTGATGGTTAGTGTCCGGTCTCAGATTAAGTTCTCTGCTCCGGGGGTCAGTTGGAGTAAGAGCTCTCCAAAAGTGTGCTGATGCCTGCCAGCAGATGGGAGAGTCGCTGGGTCGCTGTTTTGCCCTTTGTCACTAGTAGCTTCTTGTTACTAGTAGTAAGGCCAGGAGCCCCTAGTAGCGTCCCTGCTCCTAGTAGCGATGCCAGGAGCCCCTAGTAGCTTCTTGTTACTAGCTTAAGTTTCCCTAACAATCTAGAAACCAAATCAAATCATTAGTGCGAGCGGCGAGCGCTTCTTCAAGCTATCCTGTAGCTTAAGTAGCTAGTAGCTACCTCTTCTACTAGTTACCTCTTCGGCCTACCCCCCCCCCGCCCCACGGGCTTTAGAAAAAGAAAAATGCGGAAAAAAAACTGAGCTTCATGCTGGTAGTTCACTTCTTTGGAACGTCCAAGTTTCACAGCAACACTGCGAGTGAAGACCTTGGCTCTGGGGTTCTGTCGGTGTCAAGTGTTGCAGAGCAGCTCAACTTAGATCGGCGCAGAGTACAGCAACGCATATGTGCCAGTGTCTGAAATCTGGCACCTGATGTTTGTTGACTGTTGGTCTTTGAAATTACAACTTGATTATTTTTCTCTATCTACATGGGGTTTAAAAGACTTGTCAAGACACGCTTAAACATGAGCAGTGGATCTATCAGAACCTTACATTCAGCGTGAGTACATCTGAGAGATTTGCATGATTTGAGCTTGATGTTCATATGTGTGCTGAACACCACAATGAATGAATCTGCAAGTTGAATCAGTGGAGCCTTCACCTTTCCATTTAGGCGAGGTGTCGAACGAGAGGCTGGATTAGGAGATCCATCATAGGTTTCTGATTGCTGAGACTCTGGCTCCCCATTCACCATCTTCTTTGCATGTTCCATGGCCATTGGAAGCGACATGCGACGCATCAAAGGAATTTCGGGCCTGAGTTTCCAACTGCGCTGTGAAAAATGTCCGGCAGATGTCAGGCAGCATTGCATTGCGTCAAGGATGTGACCCTTCGGAGTCTTCACCAACATCTTCACGGAGGAGTAGCTCTGCCTGAAACATTGCAATCTGCCTGAACCGATTCGTCTTTGGTCTGGCTTAGCACTGGACGCCCAGGACTTCAAAAAGAAGATCAAACAAAGAGCACATCAAAACCTCGCCAATCTGCAATCTGTGGAATCACAATCCGCAGCTAGTGAATTAAACTGGAATGCTGAGGAAAGCACATTCTGGTCCAAGTGACATTGCCACTTTGACCTAACAAACCCAAACGTGTGACAATAAGCGCATAATGACATCAATATTCAAAGTACAAGGTGTCTGGCGACATCTTCAGATTCAGTAAGCCAAGGTATCCAAGGCTTCTGCTCTTTGGGCCTTTCTGGACATGGAGCAGCAAAGGGTCGCTGGGTGGAGTCCTGCGACTGGTGAGTACAGAGCACCGAATACTGAGCTTTTTTTAAAGCCCGCTCTGCCCTCCTACTACTTAATTAAGTAGGGGTATTAGGTGCCTACTTGATTACAGTAAGTCAGGCGACTAGGAGAAGTTCGCTGCGACAGAGGGGCTCGCACTGATGATTTGGTTCCTAGGTTTTGGGGGAAGCTTAACTACAAACTAATGATTTGGCTCATACGCTGCGGCAGCCGCAGGAATTTGGCCTGAAGTGCGGCGATGTATTTCTCCCTGTTTTCAAGCACCAAAGAGGTCATAGGATCCTGGCGGACTCAGGCTGTTTTGAATGAATCGTAGCGGACTAATGCTGCTGCATCCTCCTTCTCCCAGCCACCCAGCACTTGGGTCAACACCTGCCAACATTGCTGGGCGACTTCGCCCCAAGGGCACATGATACAATCTGATATAGTCACACAACAACAGGAAGAAACTATCCGACGCTCAAAGCAAACTAAAGAGTTTTGCCTGAAACCACTTGCGGGTTTCAGAACGGCCTCTTTTATTTCTTCTCTGCCACCAGGAAGTTGCGCAGCTCGCACCTTCTTCCGAATTTGCCTGCAAGGCACTCGCGCGCTGGGAGTCTCCAAGTCAAATCCACCAAGCAATGTCTTCGGAACTCAATGACTCGAAAACAAAAACCTGTTCCAAACAGCCAAACTCTTGTTCCTTACAGGAAGTCAGCACTGCGTGAGGGAATGGACCTGCCTATGACAACATCCAGGTGCATCTGTAATTACAAGACCCAGCAAACATGCATGTACCGCTTCAGCCATTCTTGGAGCTCACGATGATCTTGTGCCTGATCACAACAAGCTGATTTCATTTGTGCCGACGTCTGTAGACGGCACATATGATGTCCAAAAAGTCTGCATACATAAGATTCTACATTGCAGCAATATATCAAGCATGCTTGGCTTGGATATTGGATACTCAGTATCACACAGTTGCTTCCAGGGCTGCAACGGCATCTGTAAGTATCTTGTGGTACCGCCTCAAGCTCCAACATTGGTCTGCAGCATTTTGAGACAGCCAAATTGCACGTGAGGTCATGAGGTCCCAGCTGAAGCTTCACTTTGCCATAGTAGCCTTGGATTGTCAGGCGATGAAGAAAAAGAAAGGTGAACCCAAATGGGATGGTGTTTCTCTCCTTGGTTAAATTTGTTCAAAGCCGTTAAATAATTCCCTCGCCTAGTTGGAGATGTGCCCTTGGATTTGGATAAACTAAACATGTTTAATGATGTGTATATATATAGATAGATATAAAATCATAATCCCCGTTGCTACCGACTACTGAGGTTCACCCCCTGATTTTATCCAGAAGTTGGTTAAAATTCCACACACCAAAGGTCTGCACAAGTAAAAAAAAACACTTTCTGTTGTGATTTGCTAATTTGACTGGCAAATTTGACTCTTTTGCAAATCTGTCTGTCGCTGCCAACCAATCTATTTAAGACCCATCTTAGATAGGGAAGAGGCTCATTTTGGAACACACGCTTCGGAACACAACAATCCCTTCGCCCCTGTGGAATAAAGTCCGGCGTTCGATAGCAGTTTGTTGATATGTAGCATGCGTGCGGTTCGCAGGCCGAATCTAGAGGAGGAAGGCGCCATTCCAAGGTAGTATACCTTCCTGGGTTGCTTTGTTGTTTGGATCTTGTTCAATATAAGCGGGAGGCGGCGCAATGCCTCCCCCACGGTGTGAACCAAGTCCAGTGGCTTCGTTGGTGGGGCTCGTTGGTCGTTAGGGTTCGCTGGTTGCTTCGTTGCTTGGCTTAACCCCCGCGTGGCTCACAAACGGCATACTTTGGAATGGCACCTTCCTGCTCTAAATTTTACCCCGCGTGGCTCACAAAAGGTATGCTACCTTGGACTGGCACCTTCCTGCTCTAAATTTAACCCGCGTGGCTTGCAAAAGGTTTGCTACCTTGGGTTGACACCTTCCTGCTCTAAATTTTTACCTGGCGTGGCCCACAAGAAGTCTGCTTTGGTAGGGCACCTTCCTGCGCTAGATTTCACCCCGCGTGACTTACAAAAGGCACGCCACCTTGGAATGGCACCTTCTTCCTCTAAATTTAGCCCCCGCATGGCTCAGAAAAGGCGTGCTACCTGGGAATACAATCCCTTCGCACTGTGGAACAGATTCCGCTGTTCGATAGCAGTTTGTTGATACTAGTATGTAGCATGCGCGCGATGTCATATCGGTTCGCGGGTCGAATATAGAGGAGGAAGGCGCCATTCCAAGGTAGTATACCTTCCTGGGTTGCTTTGTTGTTTGGATCTTGTTCAATATAAGCGGGAGGCGGCGCAATGCCTCCCCCACGGTGTGAACCAAGTCCAGTGGCTTCGTTGGTGGGGCTCGTTGGTCGTTAGGGTTCGCTGGTTGCTTCGTTGCTTGGCTTAACCCCCGCGTGGCTCACAAACGGCATACTTTGGAATGGCACCTTCCTGCTCTAAATTCTACCCCCGCGTGGCTCACAAAAGGTATGCTACCTTGGACTGGCACCTTCCTGCTCTAAATATAACCCCTGCGTGGCTCAGAAAAGGTGTGCTTTGGAATGGCACCTCCCTGCTCTAAATTTTGCCCCCGCGTGGCTGACAAACGGCACGCTACCTTGGAATAACACCTTCCTGCTCTAAATTGAACCCTCGCGTGGCTCACAAAAGGTATTGTTTGGAATTGCATCTTCCTCCTCTAAGTTTTACCCCCGCGTGGCTCACAAAAGCTACGCTACCTTGGAATGGCACCTTCTTCCTCTAAATTTAACCCCTGCGTGGCTCGGAAAGGTACACTATACCTTGGAATGCAATCTTTTCGCACTGTGGAAAAGATTCCCGTGTTCGACAGAAGTTTGCTGATATGATATGTAGCGTGCGTGCGATGTCACGTCATATGGGATCGCCAAGGTAGCGAACCTTCCTGGGTCGCTTTGTTGTTTTGATGTCCTTCAAAATAAAGGCGCAGCGCCTCCCCCGCGGTGTAAACCAAGTCTAGTGCCTTCGTTGGTGGCTTCATCGCTTTGTCGCTTCCTGGATCCCTTCCTGGGATGCTTTTTTATGCTTTTTTGTGTTGATCTCCTTCAATCAAACAATAGGCGGAAGGGGGTGCGGGGGAGAGCTGCAATTCCAACAAAGTCTATAGCCTATAGCGGGTTCGTTGCTTGCTTTGTTGCTTGGCTTAACCCCCGCGTGGTGTGGCTTACAAAAGGCATGCTACCTTGGACTGGCACCTTCCTGCTCTAAATTTAACCCCCGCGAGGCTTACAAACATAATGGGTTCCACGCGCACGGCAACTTCCACGGGCACGGGAGAACTGCGACGAGCACGGCACGGGCACGGCGCCTAGGTAGCAAGATGGTGAACAGACTTTGCGTTGGTCCGCCCTCCTAATTCTCGTACATGAAGAGAGAATTAAACATTGTAACACAAGTTCTGGCTGGGAAGAATTGGGCCTAAACATTGTAACATTGGTTCTGGCTGGGAAGAATTGGGACCTAAATGTCGTCCGAGAATTTCATCACACGTCATGCTCGCGTGGTGATTCAAACTCTGAGGCAGAAGTTCTCGGAGATCCCCCGCTGCGGAGAAATTGAACATAAAAGGGCTACAGAAGAAGGACGTGGCTTGCCGGATCAATAGCGTTGTCCAGGGTTGGCGCGGTGTTGGACATTGAGCTGCGGCAAATGTTTGGCAGCTTTTGCCGGTTAAGCTTGCCAGCACGCCTATTCATTAGATCGCCCAGCGCGGAATGTGTGGGCTGATGGGCCATCAGTTGATGCGTGCGGTGTTCAGCTTGCAGGGTTGGGCATCTGGGGTTGGAGCCTAACAGCTTGAGTTTGCTGGCCAAACGTCATTTTCGTGGGAATGCAGGGTTGGATTTCCATGGTTTGGCGTCCGAGGGTTGGAATTTCTGGGTTGGCGCAAAATGTGTGGGCTGATGGGCCATCAGTTGATGCGTGCGTAACTTGCAGGGTTGGGCACCTAGGGTTGGAGCGCAACAGTTTGAGTTTGCTGGCCCACACTCATGGAAATGCAGGGTTGGAGTTTCTGGATTCCGGCCGGTGCAAGAAGCTCTCGCTGACGGGCCATCAGTTGATGGTGGAAATTTGCGTATAACAAAGTGTTTGGACCCAGTATTTGTCCCTGGTATACCCTGGTTATTGATCCACAACCCTTCCACGACATAAAATATATGGTGCTTCAATCAGTTTCAACACAAAGGCTTTTGGTTCTGACATCTTCCAATACAGTATGCAAGTATATGATGGAGTTGTCAATAGCACGGGCACGGCACGCAACAGGCGCACGTATTGCGCCAACGGGCACGGCACGGGAGGCACGGGCACGGCGAAACCACCTCTTTATGCTTACAAAAGGTAAGAATAAAACACCGTAAAAAAAAGACACACCAGAAAAATAATATACAAGAAGAAGAAAAAGCACCAACTGAGAAGAACCACCAGAATAAAAAAACACCAACAAAAAACACTACCAAAAGAACAACACCAACAAAAACCGCCACCAGAAGAAAAACACCACCAACAAAAAAAACACAAGAAAAAAAAACACCAACAAAAAGACACCAGAAGAAAACAACCACCAACAAAAAAACAACCAGAAGAAGAAAACACCAACCAAAAAGACACCAGAAGAAAAAACACCAACAAAAAAACACCAAAGAAAATAACCACCGCGTTCCAAATTGAGACCAATCGCCCACGTTCCAAATTGAGACCAATTGCGCGTTCCAAAACGAGGCCGTTCCCTTTAGATAACCCTTCAACTAAATGAGTCAAATAAAATGGATCTTCCGTGGTCGACCACACTCATTTTAGCAAGCCGCTAGCAACGGGGATAAATATCCAATCACTGAAGTGTTCATTTGAACATCTTTGGACACACGCGGGGCGCGCAATCACTTTCGGCAGTGATCGCCGCAAAGGGAGCCGAGTGATTCTCCGCTCGTTGAACAGTGCAGCGTGTCAAATGCAATGCGGGCAACAAGGATGCAGCGCAAGACCTACAAGTATCTCTCACCTCCCTAGCAGGGAATCTGCTCCCATTCAACGATTCTCTCTGCTAATTCTTTTCGCGCCTGGGTAGTTGGAGATTGTACTTCTGAATTGGATAATCCAGAACTCCTTGCTGGGTCCCTCGACTTGCTGGGGGCTGGGCAGGCAAGGATCAGGGGCGACATCGATCTACTAGCACCTTTCTATTTTGACAGGGGGTCATAGATTGGGTCCATTCCATCACCACCAACAGCTGATAGAGCGTGATCACGTTCAATCAAGGTTCTTGCGAAGGATGATCAGGTCTTTCTGTGCATGGGAAATCGACATAGTTGGTTCCCGTGGACCTAGTCGCCCTAGTCGGGTCCATGGTAGCTCTCCAGGTGTGAACAAGGTAAATGGTATATATTATTATATTTGTGCATAGAGGAAGAACGCCAAGATAGACCCACCGGAATGGGGATCGTCCTTGCTTTTGATGAGCTATAGCCCATTCCTATGAGGCACAACCTCAATATTGTAGACAAGGTATTCTGGTTTATTGAGTCAACTACAGTACATATGCGCTCATCTGGCAGCAAGTTCCATCCGCAAGTCAGTCGGCGGTACGGGAGAAAAATCATTACGCTGCATTACGCTGCCTTGTTGGAGCGACCCAACCCATCTGACAATCCTGGGAGGCGATGTGTACAGATTGTTCTATATATATACATAATACACACATACAGTATATTTGTTCATATACAAATCATTACAAATCTATATCCTCGAAGTTTCCCATGATTCCCACTTGCAGGTGTCTGCTACCACATTCCTTCCAAGCTGCCCCAGAATTGCCTCTTCATTGCCTGCTGTGGAAACAATTTTTGGAACGGCGCAAGCAACCAAAATGAATAAACATGTTTAATTTAGGCCAGTGAAGTTTACCAAAGCCCGACCTTCACCTCCGCACGGATCAACTCTCGCCGCTTTCGCTCATCAGAACAAATACGAAGCCTTAATGCAACACCGACACCGGACCAGACATCCGAGGTGAGGTACACACTGGATTTGCCAAATTGAAGGCAAAGTTCACATAACCTTACAAGGAAGTTGACACAAGAACTCCGGGATAGACTATCGGATAGACCCTAAATATGTTGGAAGAAAACTCACGAGGCGTAGTGCGGCGTACTTAGTACTTGTGTGGTCGCACGGTCTTTTATAACCGTCAACTGGATCGCGAAGGCAAACAAAAAAGTACAACTATACTATATCAGTGCAATGTGATGGGATGAGAAAACTCCAGGGTTTCTCGCAAAGTTGCGAGCAGGGCCTGGCCCCAGGCCGGCATAGGCGGCATAGACCCTTTAGTTTTCAATCAACTAGAAATCCCACGACCTATTTATGCCAGTGCTCGGTCTCTTACAACCACTAACCGGATCTCGAATGGAAATGAGATAGATAGATCACTAGATCAGGGGATGGTTCCAGAATGCACAAGAAGCTGCGGTCAGGGCCTAGCTCCAGAGTTCCAAAGTTCCAAGCTTGTGGGTTGCAGAAAGCTGCGTCAAACCCTAGTACCAGAGTAGGGTTTCCGGGTTTCAGGGTTCCAGGCAAGAAGTTGCGATCAAAGAGGTAAGGACCCTTATAGGAGCCCCTAGTAGCTTCTTGTTACTAGTAGTACGGCCAGGAGCCCCTAGTAGCGTCCTTGCTCCTAGTAGCGGTGCCAGGAGCCCCTAGTAGCGTCCTTGCTCCTAGTAGCGATAAAAGCTTTCAGCAAAGACATGCAAAGACATATACCATCATATACCCCAAGAGCCGCTGATGGCAGTAGTGTGGCTGAGGCTGCAACACTCGAATTTCTTCTGCCAAAGACAGGCGGCAGCGAGCTGAAACATGCGAAAGCTTCTTCCTGGAACATGTGGCCGTAGTTTGCATCGGTTGCAAAGGCAAAACCACGAAGCTTCATCTCACAGCCCGTTCAATCTCTGAGGCCAAAACAAGTAGCCCTGCACCTTCTCAACCCAAAATGTCAAATGCAGGAATTGATTTATATATTGTTTATATATATATATATACATGTCATGATTTGCATCACGCGCCTCTTTGCAGTTTTCCCAAGGCCACTCCAAACCAGGTGCATTGCACATTGCTAGTGTGATTTGAAGCCTCGAGGTTAAAAGCACTATGGAATCTTGAAGCTTCAATCAAATCTTCCATTGCTATGCTGGCAAATGATTTGCCAAACGCTGAGCATTTCCACCGAATGGCGCAGGTGTCAGCATCGGCATCGCCCTGCCAAAATCGAATGGTGCAGTAGGTGCCGGCTGTGTGCTTTGAGCAATCCTAGGATATCCTAGGGAGCTGGCGATGATGCCCAATTGCTCGAAGATCTGTGCCTCTCCAGAATCCAAGCCTCAAACTGCTGTCAGAATTAATCTCAAAGTTCTTCCCATTCCTACTTCGGGGCCTGTAGGTGCCAATGAGCGTTTCTGACAGAATTCTGCTCTGAGTCTTCCACGGTCATCAGTGGCGATGCTGTTGACCAAGGCCGCCCTGGAGCTGCGCGCGAAGAAAATAAATGAAAATGCCTCCAACCTACTAGCTTCTTGCTACTAGTAGTAATGCTCTTTGTTACTAGTAGCGATGCCCTTGTTCCTAGTAGCTTCTTGTTCATACTGATACTGTGGTACCTGACTCTATTGCTGATCCAAAAGAAAGGTGTGCTGTAAGGATCCAGCGCTTCGCCATGGTTGCGGTGAAGCCACTGCATCAAAAGCAAGTAAAGTGCGGAGTTTTGTGTAGGCCTCGACAAAGGCAAGAAATCGGTATGTGACTTTTTGCTCGCGCTATTTATGGATCCTAAATGAAGCTCACTCGCAGGACAACCTTTGCAACGGCCCAGTATGCCCAACACTTCATACTATTATCCAGTTTCCAACTCGCAGAAGTTCGGGAAGGAACAAAGGGCACTCGGTGCACACAAGCCTGATCCTAGGCACCTCTTCGACGCAATTCACAGCGAAAGACTGTAGATTTAAGGCCCAGTCGTCTGCAAAAATGAAAGGGTCGGATGTACCTTTGAAGGCACAGTGACACTCATTCGCTGGGCATCTTCTTGCAACACAGGTCACGGGGTAGAGAAAGCTTTTGTTCCTTGCGTTCTTGTTCCACTTGAAGTCAGCTCCTGAAAACAAACACCAAAGGACTTAAAGCCGCAGTCAAGCCAAACAAATGGACACAAAAGCAGTCTTGTTCGGTCAACGCTCAGTATTGAACGGACAGACACACATCCCATTCAGTGTTTGAGACCCTGGCTTGCAAATACAAGTTCAGTGGAAAACGGGTCAGTCTCAATGACGGGCCTTCCAAAAGGGCACACTGCTAACAGGGTTGCGGGGTTCATGAAATTGAAGCATGTCGAAGTCTTTGAGTAGTGAATATAAGAAACAAAGATACAGTAATGGAAAACACTTGATGTCAGTGACTGCGCCTGAAGACCTTTACGTTGGGGCCTTGTCAAGATGCAGAAAACGTCTGTCTTCAAACATGCTTCAACTCCAATTCAGGATCTTGCACAGGACGTGAAACTCTGAGTTCTCGGTCTGGAGCAACAAGGCCTCAGTGCGAAGCTTTAGAATTTGACTGGATGTCTCCACCGAGTGCTAAGCTTCCAACATGAGGCAATGGCGAGAGCAAACGTGCCGCTTCACTTCGAAGTGCAGTTGGTGGTCCATTTGGCCTGTTGAGATGTTGTTGGCTGTTGAAGAGTTTGCTGTTGCAGATCTCACTTTCGGGGAGATCAGGCTCCAGCAAGAAGAGGTCCCCGTGGTCCACACAATAAAGGCGGAGCTCCCCATCTGCAACAAATGCTGTTCGAGTTAGTGAGCTTCGGAGGGCATCGCTACTAGGAGCAAGGAAGCTACTACTAGCTCCTGGCATTACTACTAGGAACAAAAAGCTACTAGGAGCAAAGGGCATCACTACCAGCTGTAAGTTTCCCTAAAAATCTAGGAACCAAATCATTAGTGTGAGCGCTTTTTCAAGGAAGCTTCCCCCACCGTGGGGAGCTTCCTTGAAGAAGCACGAGCTATCCTCCGTCCTAGGTAGTAGCTTACTTGCAGCTAGTAGCTACCTCTCCCTTACTTAATTAAGTAGGGAGGAGGGGGAGCGGGCTAAAGAACGCAAAAAAAAGGAATATATATATATAGTGCATTGGAGAGTGGGGTTTTGCAGCCGCTCAAACGCAAAGTGCGGGAGATGCAGGCTTAACCTACCGCCCACCTTCTGAATCCAAATGCAGCTTTGCAGGAAATGCTTTAGGCCTTTCTGAATAGACTTGAAATTCACCGCCAGCCGCGGAAGCTCAACAAGGTCGATGGACGGCTTTGTCTTGGAGGACTGCGGATCAACGCCTCAGCAACAGGCAAGTCATGCGTCAACAGAGACTGCGGCAATCACATGGAATGAACATTCAATCCAGCAAGTAGTCTTCCTTGATGCTGTGACCCCCATGACTGCGCTGCAACTTAGAGTTCTCTTTTGCCATCAGCCGTCAGGTTGGAGGTAAGCACGTCTGCCCCGCAAGCGGAATGCTTGGGGTTGCCTGAGTTATGAACTGCCAAGAAGACCACAAAAGATGACCAGGCAAACCCAAGGCAATTGCAGGAGACTTGAAAATGCAGCACCCTGCACATCATCTGCATCTGCTGCATCTAGCAATTCCAAGGCCTTGGTCTTCGCTGTTGATCGTCTTCCTTTCTGGCTCAACGTTTGGCGTAGGGAATCTACAGTAATTGAATCTATTGAAGCTGTTGTATGCAGCTTTGGATCCCATAGGGTTTGCTCATCACAAATTATATAGCCGCAGCATTGCAAACGTATGCAACCAGGTCAACTGAACCTTATCGGCAATCCTGCAAAAGGGGGATAATTGCTAGTTACAGAATGCAGGTTACCCTGGAGGCTTCAGTGTTGAAAGTGGCTCTGTGCTGTCAACGGCACTTGCAGCATGAGCCCGCACTTGTCAGGCTTCAGACCCCAAGGCTTCAAACTTTGTGCGTATACTAGTACAACTCCAAGAGGACGTCAGTCGTCAAGAATGCGAGGTCGGAATTCCGAGTTGTATGCTAATCATGTTTCACTGGAAGAAACCCAAGCCCTTGGGATTGCGGGTCACCCAATCACCCAAGCGTCTTCCAACCATGTCCCACCCACCTCAACAAAAGCTTTGCAAAACAATCTGTCCTTCAATGATACGACTTTTTGCAAAGAAAGCAAAGGGGGGGGCTATATCTGCGGTCTGGTCAAATGTTCTTGTATGATCTTTTATGTATGGCCATTATAAAGGCATCCTAAGCCGGTTCGCGCGCATTGTTTTGCTAAGGGGTGCCCGCTCGCGCCACGCAGAGAAAACAGTACAGTAAAGAAAGAACATCTTCGAGATTCGATATTTACAATTATTATTACCGCACCGCACCTTTGATAAAAGTAATTTGGCCAACTCCAACAGACCCGGGAGAACAGTAAAGAAAGAAAGTGTTCAATATGTACCGCCTTTACCGCACCTTGGGTAGGGCAATTTGGCCAACACGGATGACCTATGACCTCCTGATTGCAAAACAAAATAAAATATTGCATTGCTACATTGTGGTGCCCAGAATGTCCTGCCAAACAGACCGATTTGCTCCCAGTGAACCGCGTGTTAAAATATTCCGGGTGTCCATAAACAAAACAATTGCATGTCTTTTTTGCTTCACATGCAACAAAACCATAAGCCGGATACAACGCACGCAGTATATAAACGGGTCGAACTCGGAAACCTCTATTAACCCGATGATTCTTTCTTTCACCTTTTACCGTTTGGACCACGGATTTCAATCAACAGAGATTGAAATGTCATGAAATGTCTATGTGTTTGGACCCAAGAAAAAGAGTACAAAGGAAGTCGCTTTGTACCGGTTTCACAGCATCTTTGAGAAAGCCAAATTGCCCGACAGACCTGTGCGAAACAGTAAAAAAAAATATGTGTTTTTACAATTCTTAATGCGCCTTTAGTAGCAAAAAAAACGCCACACACCCGTAGAAAAGCGACAAAACGTCAAATTGTTCAATTCTTACCATGTTTGCCACACGTGTGGTAAAAGCATCGGCGACCGACCCAGGAAAAAGGATTAAAAACAGTTTCGATGTTTACCGTTTATGCCACGGAAGTGCCTCGAAGAAACCCCGCAGCCCCTGCAACACCGCTAAACCAGCACAGAAATTTGTGAGTCCCCTATTGGTTCCCAATGTTTTGGAACCTTGTTGCAGGTATCATGTTTTGGAAGCCCCTTATCATTTGCAAGGGTTTGGAGAATTCCAGCATATGAATGAAAAGCTCTTCTTCGCAAATGTCGAATTCACCTTATCTGGGACCAATATATACTTCTGCAGCAACAAGATTGGCAGCTTGAGAATTGATGGTGCGACTGAAAAGTGTGGTTCATTTCGATGGCTAAGAGAACATTGCTAGACCATGAAAAGCTGTTATCACCTTTTGGTCCAAACGTGAAGTAAGTACCAGTACCAGTAGCTAGACCATTAATTTTGCCTAGACAAGACCTGAGGCTAAATGTGTGGACCCAGACTCCAACGAAAACAGTAGAAGTCGAATCCACTGACAAATTGCCTCTTCATGAAGTTCGCTTTCCAGGTTTTAGGCGTTCAACCATGTTCAACCCAGCGACAAAGTACCTTAGGCACGGGCATCTTTCAGTCCTTCTATTTCAGCTCGCCTTCTTTCACTTCTTTCCTAACGAAACAAGCACATGACATTCAAGGGTTGGCAGCTGATTGCGTTGTATGAGAACAAGAAAGAGCATCTATACATTGACTGTGCAATCCTCGAGACTTTCGGGAGGAACAAAGCACTCGGCCTTAGGGGTGCTCTTATTGACTCAAGCACCGCTAGAGCATGTTGTGTTCTTTCAACATAAACGCTCCCTGGGTCTCTCGAGCGGTAAGTCCGTTGTCAAACTTGATTGCAGACAGCTCCGTCTGAATACTTTTTGCATCTGACCTGGTCAGTGAGGCGCCAATATTCTTTTCTGGTAGCGCTAAACCAGCCCATAAAACAAGCAGCACGCAGACGTGACATGCATTTGACGTACAACATGTTTTGTCTGCTTGTTTCTATGGAGTTTGGCCGACTTTAGCTGCTTCCTATCGATCCAATTACTACTACATGTTATGAATCATATGCCAAGGCTCTGAAGCTCTTGGACATCTTCACCCAAGCGCCGAGCTGCCTGACAGGATTATGATGGAAAGCACGTCAGCACGTGATGTGCTACAGTATTTCAGGGTATGCATGCCCCCTTGTGCCATGACCAAGCGAATCCTGTCCTGGGTTTTGTGCTGCACATCCTTCTCCTTACGGGCCCTCTCCATCTCCATGTCCTACAACATCGCAGTTGCATAGCAATAGCCCTCCAAAAACAAAAATAGACCGTGCGCCTGTAAAGTCTTGGTAAAGTCTACCTGGCGGCAAAAAGACATCTGATTATGATTGGCTAGAGAGAGAGAGAGAGATTGAGCGAATCGAGCATGTCTCACCTGAGCTGATGCTTCTGCAACCTGCAGCTGGGCCACGTTCTTCATCGCATCAGACTCAACAACCTGGAATGACGCGACACAACGAACAAATTCTGTTGAAGCTTCGTTTAAGGAAACAAAGCCTCCAGTAGCCCAATGACGCTGGTAGCAGTGCCTGATGCTGTCGGCTCTGCTATCATGATACCCAGCGCATGTCATGTGCTTTGATTTCACCAATTGCAGCTGCTGGCCTCTGTTTGAAGTTGACCTGCTTGCTTCTTCTCCGCCGTAGTACCTACGACTTTCAAGCTCAATCTCTGTGGTTATGCCATCTGAATTCCTTAATGACCTGTTTATATAGCAATGTTCAGATGCCACAGCACAGTTAAGTTCTGACAAGGCTTTGCTTTGGGTCATACGACAATAAGCAAAGAACTGTGGCGCAGCACCGACAGTACAAACACCGGTCAACCTACCACTCGGCATGATAAGGTGGAGTCATTCAAGAAGCCGATGTTCAAATTAAATCCTCATTTGCTTGATTGCATGAACTCCACCAGCTCAACACAGAGGATGCAAATGAAAATTTGTGATGTTACTGTTTGGCCTATCATTTCAATAACATGTTCGAGACATTATTGATCCAGCCTTGTATAGTTGAATCACTTGTTCAGGCCTGCAAGAGTCAAACTCCGAGCATTGAACACCTGCTCAAGGCGCTAAATCTACATTCCAAAAGGAATCCTGGGTACGCCTGCCCGTTTCGCCAAATGTGCGTCAAACACAGCTGATTGGCATTACACTACACCGTGCGAAACAGCAAGAGCCAAGTCCTTCACAAGCACACCCGCGCTCTTAAGTAAGGGCTGGCAGTCTGCAACAAGCCCTGCCAGATCTGAATCGCTCGTTTTAAAGATGTTTCTCCTTGCTATGGTGTCATGGTTTTACAGTGGCTTCGGCGATTGTGCCCTGGCAGCTTTCGTCTGCAGGCGCGCTCAAAGGAGAGGTATTGGTTCCTTGACTTGGGGACGTTATGGGGGGGTGGGGCAAATAACTTTGATGCCAGCCCTGTGTCTGCTACAGTAATTGAAGTGTATGTGTATACTTTGCGTATAATATGATGTGTACAATATATATATACATATGCTGTCGTTTGATTTTTCCCCACTGACAAAAATAACACCTGGTGTGTAAGGGGGTCACGCACCACAACACGTGGTGGCAACAAGCTGCCACACAAGTAAGTAGACAGCCCTACATCTTTGGAGGTAGTGAAGCTTTGGGTTTGCACATTGTTGAAGACTGCTTTCAGGAAGGCTCAAAGAATGGAACAGGGGTATGGGTTTCTGATTGAAGCTTAGTGTCAGGCACTCGTGCACGGTACAGTAGCAAGGCACCTTACTACTAGTAGCAAGAAGCTACTAGTAGCTCCTGGCATTACTACTAGTTACTATATAGTAATAAGAAGCTACTAGTAGCAAGGTGCCTTAGTAGTAGTAACAAGAAGCTACTAGCATGACTAGTACGTGAAAGAAGCCGAAGATGGGCGCTCCCGCACGGGAAGGGGGTTGCTGGGCATGAAGAAGACCCCTTCGAGTGAGCGCCCAGGTTCCATTAGTTGCTTGATCTAGCTGGGGAGAACATGGTGGAAAATCAAACAAATACTTGGGAGCAGCTTTAGCAATTTGTCAGATATACGATGCTGCTTGGGCTCCGGGAGTCAAGCAGCCTGCTCAAGCCTGCCGGTGGCGGGTGGTCACGGCCACTTGTCGCTCAGTGCCATGGTGTTGGATCGACGCATTTGGCTGGCATTGACGGAGGCAGATGTGGGCTGTGCATTCTTGCGCTTGGACAATCTGGCCGATGGTTGGGTCTAGTAGAAACAAGAAGCTACTAGTAACACACGCTAGTAGTAACAAGTGCCACGCTAGTAGTAACAAGTGCCTTACTAGTAGAAACAAGAAGCCCTGTGAACCCTCTCACTCAACAGGGTTTCGACCCTCGTCGACATGGAGGGTCACCGACATTGAGCCTCACGTGGCCATGGACCCCTCGCCTTTTACATGTGCCCACCTTTCGGCCTTTCGGCCAATTTCACAGACTAGTAACAAGCTACTAGTAGTAAGGCACCTTGTTACTAGTAGCTTCTTGTTAGCAGCAAGGTCCAAGGTGCTTACTATGGCAGGAGTTCGTTCAGGGCTGGGGGATTTCCGTGACCGTTCAGTGCCTTGGGTGCTCAGCAAGGCCGTGACCTTCTCGCATCGCGCTGAACACGGTGGCTCACTGCCGTGACCTTCTCGCACTTCGGCTTCCTCAGCTGAGGGGCCTGCCATTCTCTCAGGATCGACTGAATCGACACTGGCCAGTTTGGCCAAGGATGAATTGGACATGCATCAAGACCCAAGCTTTGGCCTTAGTTCGCGTTTGTTTTGAACCGTGCTGCACCCACGATCTTGCACTCAGCAGGCATTATCTTGTTGCCTGGTGGCCTCTTTTGGCTTAGCGCACACAGGGAGTCGCAAAGCTCCCTTGCCTTTGTTAAGTCAAATGGACAAACTTCTGACATCTTCGGACAGGTGCGACGCAGGCCTTGGGCTTCAATCGCTTACGGGCCAGCCCGCCATGAGGCTGTCTGTCCTTTGCCCTCAAGATGACCGACCCGTGGTTCTTCAATGCAGTCATGCCCTGTTGGACTCTTTTCGACATTCTCGGCACGGTGCTCAGTTGAGGACCTGGTGGGAGGCTTACACAACCGCCGACTCCCAAGCTAATCATGCTGTTGGCGGATTTGGCTGGCATTCGACTGATACATTTTACCTCACGGTACTCGAGGGCTTCACTCTGCCTCTTTTGAAGCTGGATGCTACAGTTCTTGAGTTTCTGTTTCAATATGCTTGGGGCTTTGCCATCCCATGTCATCTCCAAGCAACTGCGGCATCGCCTGGGTGCCGCTACTCATGCAAAGCGCCCACCGCAGGTAATCACGAGAGACCAAACATGACCAAACCTCAGCTCTGTCACCATTATGCACTAGGACAGGAAGGAGCCCAGAGGCTATCGGCTCCTCAGCATTGGCAACACTCCCAACCAGCCAAAGCACTATGAGACTCAAGCCTCCCAATTCTTTGCCCATTTCGGAAGAATCGACAACTGACGCCAAAACTCTGACAACCGTGCATTGGCTAACATCAAACCATGATGTGTGACATGCTTTGGACCAGTGGCGAACTGCATCCGGAAAGTGACCGCGCACCTCAGCAAAAGAAACGACATTCCAAGGCACAATGCTCAGATGTGGTGAGTCTCACTAAGGTTCGCTCACATCAGCAGAGGCGGCCACTCAGCGTGAAGCTTGGTTGCAATGTTGTCGCTTACAAGACCGCGAAAGCTGCTGTCAAAACTGGGGGAGAGTTAGAGCCACTGAAAAGCAGCCTGCGAAATGGGCGGCCGAGCATCAGCAATTCCTTTTGCGGCTCGCTCAGAATGCTCGGAAAAGCCTCGAAATCCAGTCCTGCACTTCAGAGCACCAGGACAATAGCGACCCCGTTCTCGAGCTGGATCACACTTTGCAGTGCCAAGATGGCGACTGGATTGAGCGGTTTTCGTTCGATCTAAAGGCCGTGCTTCAACATATAGATCTTTCTTTGGCTTTGAATTCGCCCTTGGCAAACTTTGCGTTGATTGGATTCCCACTTTAGATCGGTTAGCCAGTGTTGCTCCTTTTGTCGCTGCTTTTGAGCTTTTGGTTTCATTTGTGCAGAGCACAGCCTCTTCAGACGCAACAGGCGGGTCGACAGGTTTGGACTTCAGTGGCCGTTGCTGGGGAGTTGGTTGCACTTCCTCGGGATCTTTGCTCGGTCTTTCGTTTGCCTTCTTAGATGCTTGCAGTGCATTTGCCGACAGCATGCCATGGATCGATTCATGGCGATGGAGGATCTCCCAAAGCTGCATTCACTGAGCACTCCAGACTTCAACATGTATCTGTCCACAAACGATACACAGCGGACTGGGCACTCCCTCAACACTTTCAAGGCTATCTTGACACTATCAATGCTTCCCTGGCCAAGGCAAGTCGTCTCTCTGATCCAAGAAAGAAACAAATGGGAGACGAATTCCAAAAGCTCCATTCTTCTTGTTTGTTACCTCGGCAATTGAATGCTTCTCCTAAATGTCCTTTACAACTTTACAACTGTGTTTTGTCCATATTTGGTGAGCAATCATGAGCTTGGAAAAAAATCTTCCAGTCTCAGTGTAAAGAAGACAGAGACTGATGACTGCATGGGCATTGTACTACTATACAGGAGTACCATCCTCATGGCTCATGTTGTCGTAGACAACTTACTGTATCATTCAACTGAGTAGTGTGGGGGGGGGGCAAGGCTCTCGATAAGGAACGCAAACATAAAAAATGCAACCAACGAGCCCCAATGAGCCTTCAACTCAGGAATTGTTTGTTCAAACCTTGGTTGGCAGGCTGAAGGCAGGCTCAGGCCAGCAAATTTCTTGGTTGACAATGGATGTACAAGGCAAACTCCAAGGCAAGTGAAGAACTATGTGCAACTACTCCTTGCTGAAAAGATTCTGGGCTTTCTCTCTTTGTCGCAGCTGGGTCAACTTGGCCTCTAGCTTGGCATTGATTGTTGTTTGTCCAAATGTGATACTTGGATACGCAAGCAGCTAGGCATGTAATGCCGGACATCAACCCGAAAGACAAGCATGCCAAAGCCCATCCCTGCCACTCGAATCTGTGTTTTGCCTCGCTTTCTGCAAGTGCCGTCAAAGCTTTCTGTACGTTTGATGCCTCTGCCTCACATCGAAGGCTCCAATACGGCTCAAGTTTGATGCAAGACCCTTGCATCAAGAGTGATTTGCGAGTTGCAAAAGTCACTCAAAAAGAGTCTGCGAGCTAGAAAGCTAGAAATGAACGGGCATACTGCCTTTGCTGTTTTGTTACATAAAATACTTGATTGCTGCCTTTGCACCAAAACTCGTTGCCTTTAGCAGTGCAGTCTTGGACAACGCAGCGTCAATCCTGAAGGCACGTGTTTGAGTCCAAGCCGTTCTCAAGCACATGTCCTGGATCTGTCTTTCAGACAAAAAAAGGGAAACATGGTTTCACATCAGTAGGGCTTATGCCAAGCATCTTTGTGCGCAGGTCATCCAATTCATCTTTCTTCCCCTGATGATTGTCTTTTGCCTGCTCGGAGGAGGTGGGGGATCTCATCTGACTGCGGTGACCTGGTGGAGAAGTGGTCATCGGTTATAGTTATAGCAACCCCACTTTCTGATCATTCCTGGAGCACCCAATTGCTCCGAAAAAGTGCAACATGACATGTGAAAACATGAGAAACAGTATTAAGTTCAATGATTGAGGGACTCGTGTCATACGGATCCGCATCCCCACGAAATCGACGTCCTGGACCACAAATACATATTGCAACAACATTGTACTTCAGGTTTCTGCCAAGACTTGGGCTCCCAAATGCAGCCTTGGCAAGGTTCTCTCTGTCTTGCAAAGCCAAAGTTAGCTGCTGGCGTGATCTAGTGTGGGTAAAGACTCAAAGATCGCAAATTTGGCAGGATGATGTGACACAAAATGCACGGACTCAGGTTTCGTTGGATTCAAGAGCAAACGTGCTCTCGACAAGTGCGACAAATTGAGAGTCTTCGGGGTTTTCCAGTTCACCCCACGCGAGCTTTGGCACCATCACCGTCCATTCTTGTTTGAAAACGCATCTTTCACGCTCAAAAAGGAACTATGCTGGAAACCCATGAGAAAGACATCAACCATTTGAAGCAGCAAAAAGAGCCCAAGTTACTGGCGAGCTAGCGGTAGCGCATTTAACCGAGGCCAAGACAAAAGGTCCAAAGTTCAAACTGTTGCTTGTATGCAAAGGAGGAAAGTGAATGGAAAGGTCAACACACATTTGGTGAAGCGAGCCATGCACTATGTCCAGCCTTTGCCAGTTCAGCGTCACAATAGGCCTTCCAAAGGGGCTTCGCAATGCCAAAACCAGTTCAAAGGTGCATCAAGGCCTTCTTATCTGCCGCTTTACGGATTTCTTGTTCCACATGTCCAATCATGTCCTTAAGAGCTTGACTGGACATTAGCGATGGCTGAAAACAACTGGCTTCAAATCAATGGCAACACTCTCTCTCACTAAGTGCGTCTCTGATATCATTCCTCTGATTTTTTCAAGCCGGTCCACACCCGACGTTAGGTCCGAACCTAAGCACCAACAACAGTACTTCAAGTGTATATGTCACATTATGTGACATGTGGCACAGATTTTTTGGTCTGTTTCTGACTGAGGGAGCAACGGATCAAACTATGAATCTGGCGAGACAAAAGCGCCAAGCTCGTCGAATTGGTCCTGCGTTCTCCCTCCACAACTCTTCCGACAAGCACAATTTCAGCAGGATTCACTAGGTCCATTTCACGATTTCAACCATCTTCAATATAGTCACTATCTATAAGTCTGTAAGTCCTTTTTCACCAACCCTAGATCCACCTGGTCGCAACCTCCTGGAGCATAGTGACAATGCCCGCAGGTCCATCTTGCGCGGCATCAAAATGCTCTGATGAAGAATGAAGCAACACATAAATCTGCCAAGCTCCGAGCCATCGGTTGCCATGACCTTGGCAAGTAGATTCTGGTTATAAGCCTAATAATTGTTCTGACCAAGCCTGCAAGAATGAGTAGCCTTGCCCACCTGAAACACCAGTTTTCTCCACCAACGCAGCCTCCAATGGCAGCTGACGAACTCTAGGATTCTTGAAGCCATGGTGCTCTCCTGCACTGATCTGCACTGCACGTATTTGCCCCTGGCCTTGGCTGTATCGAGGGCTTCAAGCTCCTCCACCACATTCCGCTGTTCTATCCTGAGAGGAGCCGCGTTTAAAGGTGCTACTGTATGAAGTTTTCAGAATCTTGACTCTTTTAGGTAGAAATTGTGCTCAACATGTGCTCAGCAAGGCCTGTAGCTGTCTCTTTTGATTCGGCACTTGATGGCCAAGTCATCCAGCTCCTGTAGTGGTCCCAGCTATATCTTGCCTAATACAATTGACATAATATTTGAGTGCTTACATCAAGAGCAACCTGCCAGAACCAAGCCCCTGAAATTGAGTGACTGTTGTATAAAATCTCGCTGCAGCGTTTGCAAACACACTGCAGGGTTTTTTCGCAAAAGCGATGCTTGGCTCTGGTGCACCTGCGGGTGAAGGTCTCATGAAGCGGGTGGTTCAGAATGCTCAACATTGTCTCTGGTCTTACTTTCTTTCATGTGACCTTCTGATTGGTCTTTTAGCTGTACATATGGCTTCGCGAGCCAGCGTGCCATCTCATCTCGCAGGCTCTTTGAGCACTTTGTGAGCCCATCGGCCCACATC